GTAAGAGTAGTGAGAGGAGCATGTTGGTAAGAATAAAAACTAGTAAATTTGCATGCCAGAGGCTTGCTGAAATGAGTATTTTCAAAGAATAACAAAGAGCCATCAATGAGAAATGAGATTAATCTTTGTAAGAATTGCTTATCTGACCAACCACAGAACACTCACTTTCATTCCTTTAATGTTTGAAGAACACATAAAGTAGCCCCTCTGGAAGATGGAAACAATCAGCCAGGGTTACATGGAAGCAGACAGACCCTCAAGTATCCTCCTCCTAATCTATTTAGGACTTTAAAGGTTATGCCAGTTACACCATGGCAACATAGTCTTAGATAGTATGGCAATCAAATAAAAAACCACTGCAATGTTCAGCAGAACTCTCAGGGACGCAGTTTCCTCTGAACAAGATTGCTCCTATTTCATATTGGTTGGAAATCATCCAGCATGGTGGGGTTCATGGAGATTGTTCTGAGAAAGACTTTAATTGTCACCTCCTTAAGACGATATAAGGAGGTATACATCACTCTTCAGACCCAGTAGCTGAGCAGATTTAATAAGCTAGCAAATTTAATAAGCCAGGGTGGAAGGGGACCAAGCAGATATGCTACTGGCTTTATGCCACTCAGTAATCCTGAAGTATTCATAATAGTGGTTACCAAGGGCACATCCTGTTTTGTGGACCATCCCCTCTGTCTTTGATGTGGAGATCAGAGTGGATCTGAGCAGCTTTATCTTTAAAGCTATCAATAAACGATCAAACCTATTCCCATGTTAACTGTTTTTAGCCACGTTAACTGTTTCTAAGCTAAAACTGCAGATCGTGCGCCTGTCTTATGGCCTTCAGACAGTTATTATTGAAATAGATTTGTACATGTAAAGTTTTGAAGCTGGGTGTCACTTAACATCCAGTGTCCAGAAGGACCTGAAGAACAGGCTAGGTGCGGAGTGTTTACATTGGTTTAAGTAGGATGTGTTTCAGTTAGAAAGCATGTTAAAAACAGTGAGTTTAAAATTAATAGTGAATTTAAGGCAAAAGCAAAAGAAAAAATAAAGAAGACAAAAATGTTGTAGCACCTTAAAGAATAGCGGCTGTATTTTAATGTGAACTTTCGTGGACAAGTCCACTTCCTCAGACAGCAAATTTAAAAGTATCACCTGAAAATAGAGTAATTTCAAGTTGTACTCCTCGACAACAAGGTTCCATTTGAGGTGTGTGCTTGTGTGTGTGTGCAACTCTGCCTCCCTATGTGCAGTGTTCCTCCTCCACGCACCCATAGCGATCTTTTTCAATCCCTTTGGTTCCAGTTGCAGGGCTGAAAATTAGAGGGAATGTTGCTCAACCATAGTTCTCTGGAATCACAATCAGCTTGTTTTATTCCAACTTAGAACCCTATGAATTACTTTTTTACACATAACACTAGCAATGGGGAAATAGCATATGTGGTCTCTTGAACCAACTCAATGGTAAACAGTTAAAGCCACATTCTCCAAAGTCAATCTGAATATATTTCAGGCTTGAGTTGGATAAATGAGGTAGGAAACTGCAGTAATACAATTAGTTATCTGGAAGTTGAGTCATGACAACTGGACTTCTTTCTTATTAAGTTAAAACAATTTGCTACTCATCCAAGTAGCTTCTTCAGTCTGAAGAGAATTGGTAGGAGACTCATGATATATCTTCCACATTGGTTTCACTTCCCCCTGATCTTAATAGGCTGGTTAGATGGACAATGGACGGAGGAGGGCTTCTTCAGTCTGAAGAGAATTGGTAGGATCTTGACTAGTTATTCTCACTTGTGTTTTAAAAGTTTGCAAATTCACATTTCTTGTGTTTATCTCTCTTGTTCTTCAAGTTTGAAAGTACCGAGAACTGAATTGTAAAGTGTGCCTGTTTGTTTCAGTAAGCATGAAGCCCACCTCTGCAGTCCTTCTCCCCCCATTGTCATGGGTCGTTAAAAGTCATTAACAATGGTCTTTCTGGTGGGTGTTGTCCTGATCTTTCTGAAATACCTCACCTGGATGACTGAGAATCTTCATAGAATCTTGACTGGTTATTCTCACTTGTGTTTAAAAAGTTTGCAAATTCACATTTCTTGTATTTATCTCACTTGTTCTTCAAGTTTGAAAGTACTGAGAACTGAATTGTAAAGTGTGCCTGTTTGTTTCACTAAGCATGGAATGTGCATGAGGAGCATTCTCAAGCTTCAAGCCTAGTCCATGCTAGAGAATTGCTTCTAGAGAATTGGAGCAGTAGGATCATTTTAGTTTTAATACAAACCCAGCACCTTTGCTTCCTTTGTCAAGTAATATCACACTCAGGACTCTTAGACTGCACCATTGTTACTCATGCTACATTGCATTTTTGTATTTACTCTAAGATTTTTTTAAAAAATTGCATCTTAGTGTGGGAAATGGCGGTAGTTCACGAAGTCTTAGATAGTTAGATAATGCATGCAAACATTCATAGTAATGTCTTCTATATACTTAATTAAAATTAATACCATAATACTAGAGGAGAGACAGTGTGGTTTGGTGACTAGAATGCTGGACTTGAGAGATGAAGTTTAAGTTCTCACTCAACCGTGAAACTTGCAAGGTACTCTTGGGGCTTCTTGTTTAATCTTTCCTTTCTCTATGCGCCTTGCTCTCTTTCTGTGGCTCTAGCTTACCTCACAAGGATTAATTTGAGAATAAAGTGGGTGGAATACCAATGTGTCCTTCCTTGAGAAAGAGAAGATTTATAAATGTGACAAATGAATAAATACTGTGTACTATAATCTTGTGCAGAAGTCTGCAAGCAACTTGTCTGCACCCCCTAGGCACAGTGATTCCTAATCCTGAGTCCCCAAATGTTCATAGATGGGAACTTCCAGAAGCCTTCCTCATTAGCAGTGCTTGCCATGATTTCTGGGAATCGTAGTCCGGATAAAAGTGAGGCAAATGTATTGCTTTTACTGACAGCTCAGTCATCCAGGGCTCTCCAGTCATACTGCTTTTGGGAAGGATACTTGAAAGAATATAATATGTGGTGCTTGACATGCCTTTTAATCTGCAGTCAATTGCAGACTTATTTAGGACTAAATTCACTTGAATGCAGTGTTTTGTTTTGTTTTACTTCAGAGTAGGCAGGCATAGGATTACATTGCTAAAAATGCTTCAGAGTGTTGTGAAGTTAACTGGTAGTTTTTGCTTGTGGAACTTAAACCATTTTCATTTTCAAACCAATTCTTTCCTAAAATCTAGTTTCTAGCTGCTGCTGCTGCTTTTTTAAACTGCTCATGCTATTGCTGTTTTTTGTCTTGAAGTCTAATTTCTGTTTCTAGTTATAAATTTCACCTGCCAGTCAACTCTGCCCACATTTTTATTCTAGTAGTAGAAATAGATTTGATTTGTACACGATGTATAGCTTTGTGTATACTATTGAATTGGTATCTGCCTATGGTTTGTAATGTGTAACAGTCTTGTTCATTTATTTCCCCTCATATGATTTCAAAAGTATTTGATCTCAGTCCTCTTCATGTATTTGACATCCAGTGATTTGGGCTTTCCCCGGAAAAAAAAATTGAATTAAATACATATTCTAGAAAATTTACCAATGCCCTGAATAGATTGTGTGCTGATTTAATATTTACACAAGTACTCGGATATACTGTACATGTTCATGTTTCAGTAAGTGTGTCACTCCTTCAAGAAGGAAGCAGCAGTGTGACCAAAAGGCAGTTTCTGAGAAGGGTGGATGAGAGAGTGTGAATGTATGTGTGAGAGAGAAGCTGTTGCATTTTCTCCTGCACCACTGTAGCACTGTTTTCATTCATCATAACTTGCTTATTCTTTCGGCAGCAGAGAAATAGGGTGTCCTTTTAAAAACATGCACACAGGTGTCCTACATTTGCAACATTTGTCCACTTGGTCAGAACATATGTTGAGCGTCATTTTTGAATTCTAGTTATGAAGGAGACATACTAAACTTTGAAGAATAAAACAAATCTATACTTTGGACAGTGTATTCCCTATTGAAGCAAGTGCTTGTCCGAAATGATTTTGAATCAATTCTTTTTTCTGTGGACACATCTACTAAGTGTGTTCTGGCTATTATTTCAGCCTTTTAGTCAAGTGGAATTTAGGAATCTAACATAATTATCTTGGGTTTTAATGAGATGTTGCTAAGAATTAATCTATTTCTTAGGCAGTTCCTTAGGATTTGAAATGCGTCTTAAAATAAGGTGAAATGTGGAGAGTTACTGAAATCTGGTATTTACCAGAGCAAAACACTGCTTCAGTTGACACTGATGCACTTGCTGAGATGAACAGAAGAAAAATCCTATTCATGACTAGATGAGCTACCCATCAGTTATCTTTTGTAATAACATAATTTTGGGCATCTTTCTCTAGAATAGACAAATGCCACTCAAATAATGCACAATTTAAAAAAGTAAATAATAGGAACTATGGCCTAAAAGCAAAAGGACCTTTCTGCAGTCCTGATCTGGAATGCTCAGGTACATGCACATGCGCATACATACGCGCACACTTTGGCTGATTTTTATTGAAAGGGAAGCGTTCATCATAGTCAATATAAGTGTCCCTCTCGGTGCAAATATCAGCCTGGATGGGAGTGTGGGAGTCTGATCCAGATTGGAACTGCAGTGGGGCAGATGGTTAAATCCTCCATTCCTCCTCTTCTAGCTATTTGCTATTTAATTTTTTTAAAAGTCACAACATTACTAATTGCACGAATAATATCTATCACATGTGATTTGGCCTTAATTAAGGAGCTTCAGAACATCTGAGGCAGGGCAGTGACAAAGACCTTAGGGATAAATATGTGGCTCTGTTTTCCAATGTTCATTGTTTGCTGAATGAGAGGGTGGAACTGCATAAATGCTAGTTGGGATCTGTCAGATGCGCGGGGGGTGGGCTGGCTGGTCATGTTTGATAACTTTTTAATTTAAAAATGCAAATTTGTTTTGAAACCAAACCTGTCTTTCTTGCCTACATTTCAGTCAGAACTAAGACATGGTCCGTTTTACTATATGAAGCAGCCACTCACCACAGACCCTGTTGATGTTGTACCGCAGGATGGACGGAATGATTTCTATTGCTGGGTTTGTCATCGGGAAGGCCAAGTCCTCTGCTGTGAACTCTGCCCTCGGGTTTATCATGCTAAGTGTCTGAAACTGACAGCGGAGCCAGAGGGGGATTGGTTTTGCCCCGAATGTGAGGTCAGTTCAATAGAAGGTGTATGTTTATCTCATTGTCACTGATTTTTCACCTCTCCAAACATGGTTCTTTTCCCATCCAGGTTGACTGCCTGATATTTTATTGGAAACAGAACAGGATGTCTAATGACATGTTTTTAAAAAAGGCTTCTGTCAGTATATACCAGTAATTTACCAATATTTGCCAAAGTTCTGGTTCCTTCCTTCTTTCCTTCCTTCCTCCATCCCTCCATCCCTCCCTCCATCTTCTGTATCATCTGTGTTGACTTTCTCAGTCTCCATGGGGGGCAGAAGTTCAGCAGCAAAATGTACATAGAGAGGGATTTATTCACACTTCCTTCCACTGAACTAAAACTACTTTCCCTATGGCATCTTCCTCATAGCATTCCATTAGGAATTTGAATACCAAGCACAAGAGCCGGTTGTGTAATTTCATTCTGTCTTAATGCCTTCTGGGTAGACTTGGTACTGCCCATCTGTTCTAGAATTTTACTGGTTAATCTAGAAAGACTTCATAGGACATCTGCTTCTAGTCCATCAGCAGGAAGTGTGAGGTACAGCGGTAGTCCTGGCAGCTATCAGGATAAACGAAAAAGTAGACACAAAGATGATAGATACGGCATCACTGTAGTTACAGTACCACACTTTTTAGAGAGAGCATAGTTTCAGTTCAGAAACCAGTTTCAGTTTTATTGCTTGGAAAATTTAGGGGGCCCTACTTAGTAATGTCTCCTTTCTTGGAGGATGGTATTGTGACCCAACACATTTTGCCTGATGGTACCCAGGCTCTTGTGTGCTAGACAAGCAGTGCAAAAAGCTGTGCTCTTTGGTCGGAATGAAGAAAGAATTCAAGATTTAGGCAAGAAGACAGAAAGCAGCCACCCTGCAGAAGGGATACAATAAACTCACCTGGTATTTTAGGGTGCCTTTTGGGATTTTATCCCTCTTGGATAGCATCAGACAGTTGAAGTGCCCATTTCACCATGAAATGAAAATCAAACATCAATATTTATATTTGCATCTAATAGTAATCTGTTTGTCTTATAACATAAAGGGGTCTTGGGATGCTGCTCTCCACACATACATTTTCAGCTTTTAAAATCTTTATTTCTAGAAAATCACGGTAGCAGAATGCATAGAAACACAGAGTAAAGCTATGACAATGCTCACTATTGAACAGCTATCCTACTTACTCAAGTTTGCACTACAGAAAATGAAACAGCCAGGGGTAAGATCACTGTGTTTTGATAACTTGACGTTGCTGTATGTTGTTTGGTTAAGAATTCAGTTGCTATATTTCTTACTACATATAAAATACTGAAGTACAATCTGCATCATGGATAGCAGACTTCAGATGTGTGAGATTTACAATGATTTTTCCTAGAATCCCAGGATTTGTCACTGTGAGTTGAATAGAAAAGGTATCCATTTAGAATTAAAGGTGGTGGTGCCTTTGAACACATGATGGACTTATGAAGTTGATTTCATTACCTGGGAACTGAACTGTGAACTTACCATAGTCTCTCAAAGAAGTACTCTTGTGATTACTTCACAGGCTTTCTTCACTGAAGTAGCCTAATTTAGTTAGAAAGAAATTATTGTGTTTAGGCTATTGTTAGGTAAAGGTAAAGATTCCCCTTGACATTTAATCCAGTCGGTGTCCGATTCTAGAGGACGGTGCTCATCCCAGTTTTCCAAGCCATAGAGCCAGCGTTTGTCCGTAGACAGTTTCTGTGGTCATGAGGCCAGCGTGACTAGACACGGAACATCGTTATCTTCCCACTGTGGTGGTACCTATTTATCTACTCACATTTTTACATGTTTTCGAATTGCTAGGTTGGCAGGAGCTGGGACAAGCGACGGGAGCTCACTCCGTCGCGTGGATTCAATCTTACGACTGCTGGTCTTCTGACCTTGCAGCACAGAGGCTTCTGCAGTTTAACCCGCAGTGCCACCACGTCCCATGTAACAATAGGCTATTGTTAAATAGTTGTAAAACAGAAACCTATTGCTGATCCATTGTAGGTGACCCACAGGTCTACTAATAAATCCCAGTTTAACATTCTGGTTGTCCCTATGATATGTTATGTACAGGTGGTTGTACCCTGAAAAGTGAGGAGTTTAACATGCAAATAAGAATGGATTGCTGCTTACAATAATCACACAAGATTCTGGTGACTAAGATTCTGATATTGAAGACTAAGAATTTTGGAAATATGTTTCTGTTTCTCTTGCCTCTCAAAATTTAGTTAGATTTCTTCTCCTTCTCATTCTGTTTCTATGCAGTGGTAATAATGCAAAATGGTCAGTATCCTACTGAAATTACCAAGGAAAACCAGCATCTGCATCCATGATTTCCCCTGTGAACTTGGTAAATTTGGTAGAATGCTGTGTTGCATTGTTCTAAAATATCAAGAGCTTCAAATTTATTAATATAAATTAATTAAACAGTGGTTTAGAAGACTATAAATGAACATGTTTTCTTACTGCAAAGCTCTGAGGCTGAAACTGAAATGTTTTTACTTTTGCCAACAATGGGAGGAGCTTTCGTCCTGCTTTCCTGGAGCATCAGCCAAATACTGTAAAATGGATGGTTTAGAAAAACAAGCATTAGATGATAATGGCACTAAACAAATATAATTTTCACATAGTGCCACACTGAATGAAACGTAACTTTAGCAATAATACTACCAGTGGGAAGATATGCTTGTGAGAAAATTGGAGAAATCAAGGAGAAGGGGAAAAGCATAACAATCCAGTCTCCTCAAATGTGTTCACAAGGCTTCCATGAACAATTAATTATCTGTGATCAAAGGTAGATGATGTTATATCAGGCCTCTTTTACTCCTTCCTTTTTACTGGAAGGTTTGAAATTATACCACTGATGTAGTTAATGTGTAATAATTACAGATAATGCAAATACAGTATGGATGTAGTATTGTATCAAGTTTTATAATGTGTACATTTGAGATCTTTTTTTGTTGCCACAAATGTCTGCTCACATTTGCCAATTGGATTCATATATGGATGGGAACTGATGAGCAGTATCAAAATTCAGTTTTGGTAAAAAAAACTTTAACTCCATTAAAGAAGTCTTTAGCTAATTAAACAAAACAGTGCTGGCCTGTTTGTTTCATTGATTTACACAAATCTACAAATGCAGAAAAGACTAATCCCTTTTAGGTCATGTGTGTCTTCAAGCATGTATCATTGTAAAGGAAATATTCCACCTTGTTTCTTGCAGGAGATAAAGCTTCTTGCCTGCTACAGTTTTTAATGCCTGCATTTTTAATGCTTGTGATATTTTTAAAAATGTCTACTGCTTGATTTATCGTGTTAGTTCATAAAACGTTTTTTTAAACAATTACTTTAGCAAATTTAATAGAGCTAAGACTCCAGTCTTTACTTTTTTTCTTCTTTGGTTTTTTAACAACAGACAGAGCCATTTCAAAAGCCAGTTTCACTGGATCAACATCCAGATTATGCAGAATACATCTTTCATCCAATGGATCTTTGTACATTAGAAAAGGTTGGTTTGATACTAAGGAGTCTCATCTAGTTCCGTTAGATTATTGTGAATAATAATTGTGGGTAGGTAAGTTAGTTCTGATTTATGGCAAACCTTTGAGGTTTTTCCTCAAAGTAGAGAATACTCAGAAGTTGTTTACCATTCCCTTCTTCTGGGAAGATCCTGAGACTATGCAGTAGAGATGGGCATGAATTAAAAAATGAATCACCAAATTCAATCATAAAATCGGCAATTCATCAGTTCATATTCATATGAATCAATGCCCTGACGAATATAAATCAATGTTTTTTAAAAATAATTATTGGTTTGTCATTTCATTTGGCTAAAAAAAACCAGCCTCCCAGGCACTTAGAAACATCAAAATTGCAGGGGGCACTTTGTGGGTGTATAATTTGGATGTCTGAAACTCAAACTTCACCATACATGAATTGATAAGGCTTCCATGAGGTTTTGGTATCTGTAAGTGCTTGGGGGGAATTTTTACAGGGTTTTAAAGTAAAAAATGAATTGATTCATTAATTTGTCAGAAAAAAACTTATACATTAATAATTCATGATTTATCGACCTTGATGAATCATGAATCAAAACAAATCACTTTTTCTGATTTGATCTCTACTATGCAGCTCGCCCAAAGACACACAGGCTGGCTCTTCTGGAATGAACAGTGGGGAGTCAAACTCCTAACCTCTTGTTTCATAGCCAGATACATAACTCAGTGACATATCCAGCAGGACAGACTGTTGTTGCTGTAGTTATAACTATATCTATTATAAAGTCAAAGCACTTCTTTCATGTGATAAAAATAATCTGCCTTTTCAACAGCGTGGCATTCATTAGCTGTACTGGTAGTGTTAGATTTAATTTTCCATGTACTAAACTTCTATTTCTATGCATTTACAATTCTGTCACCATAGTATAAGTCACAGGGTCTGTTGGGAATTTTACTATTAGTTTAATGTTAGCTTTAGTCTTGCTATGGTAACTGTCATCCCTGCCCAAACACATTTTTGTCATTGGCTTACCAACACTGAATTTTTTAGAAAGCAGTAACCTACATCTACCTCTTTTTATAATTACATAATTTAACATATGAAAAGTTTCGACAGAGTGTGTTTTGTCCTGCTCTATCTTAGGGTTCCTTCTCTGCATAGACAAAATTGAGACTTTTTTCCCCCACGTGCATCTATAATTTTCAGCAGTATATATATAACACCCTATTTCATTGTTCCATATAGGTTTATAACATGTTCCAACTCTTACAAACCCAAGGTTAAATATGATATAATTGAAGGGAATATACCATAAATATAGAATGAGATGCCACCCTCCGCCCCGACTTTCATTGTGATGAATAAGCAATTTATTTCGCTCTTTTAAAAAGGCCATTAATTGTTTCTGTATTATAAAACAGACAGCTGATGTATTTTGAAATTATTTTTCAGTTTCCAATACATTTTTAAAATTACCTATTCTTCCAGAATGTTAAAAAGAAGATGTATGGTTGCACTGAAGCTTTTTTGGCTGACGCCAAATGGATTTTGCACAACTGCATTATTTACAATGGGGGTAAGTATGTGTCTATTTCCTTGAAAATAATAAATGTATCTTACAAGTTTATACAATGAATCTTATATAAAATTGAATGATGGGTTATTGTGGTTCTGTCACTACAAATGGCCGGCTGGTAATATAAAGTAAGAAAGACTTTGATTTTAAGGAACGAGGAAGAAGAGAATTCCTCTTTTCCTTGTTTCTCTGTGTCCAGGCTCCCATACTACCTTGAAGCATAGCCCTTCCCTATAGAGCAGATTTGAGCTCCAGAGAGTAAATAGATCATATATCTATTTTAGAAAAGAAATCCTGTATATTTTAATGCTCCTTCACGTCTTTTAAGAGAATGACAACCAAACATTACTCTTTAGGTAAGTAAATTTACTATTTCCAAAAGACCATGGCCATTTATTCCTAAATTCAGAAATTGATAGAAACCTTTTTTTAAGTAAGTCACTGTGTATACTGACAATTTTCAAAATATATCTCATTTTCCTTTTCAAAACACATAGCAAACAGAACTTTTCATTTTAGATTAAAATGCAGATGCCGAGAGTTAGTGTAACAGAGGCTTGATTATACATCTTTGCTTGTCTGTTTTCTTCAGGAAATCACAAATTGACACAGACAGCAAAAGTCATAATCAAAATCTGTGAGCACGAGGTATGTATTCATTAGTTCGTTCTTCTCACAATATCAATTAAAATGCCAATGAAATTTTAATAGGATTATCATTAAAAGAACTATCTAAAAGCTAACTGTAACTGCAGTGAGTAAAATGAATTAAAATCTCATGCTTTCCAGTATTTAAAAATCTGCAGTACAAAGACTTAGAATGTAATTCTGTGCATACTTAATTGAGGGTAAGTCCCACTGAATTCAGTGGAGCATAGCTATACAATTACAGTGGTGCCTCGCTAGACAATGTTAATTAGTTCCATTGAAATCACTGTCTTGCGAAAACATTGTCTAGTGAAAAGCATTTCCCCTTTGGAATGCATTGAAACCCGTTCAGTGCATTCCAATGTGGGGAAATAGTCCTCGTCCAGCGAAAATTGCCCATAGGAAAGCCGTTTTCCAAAGTGCCAATCAGCTGTAAAATCGCTGAAATCGTCTTGAGAAAAGCTGAAGTGCGGCGCGAGCTGTCAAAATCGCCCTCTTGCCGAATAAACGGTCCTCTGTGAAACACCATGAAGGGATTGCCTCACTCCGCCCTGAATGAAGCATTTAAAGGAGCCACTACCACAAAGGAGGGGTTTCCCCCAATCAATCCCCAGCGTAAAGGAGCTCCTTTGCAATCCACCAGGAAGGGATTTCCCCACTCCACCCTGAATGAAGCACTCTAATGGAGCCACGTGGTCCTGCTCGTCCAAGCCAAACAAAGGGGGAATCTCTCAATTACCCACAGCCTCCCGGAAAGGATCAAAGAGCAGGAGCCAGCCACACTCTCTGCCTTCCAATTAAACAATTTGGGCTGTGGGAAGAGGAGAGCCCAGGCAGCAGGAAGGATTTCCCCTTGACGACCCCAAGGTTGAAAACCCCTCTCGACCACATGGCCCTATTGCACCACGGAGGCAAGGAGACAGCCAGCCCCCGGAAGGGCTTTCCTTCTAATCCACCCACGGGGAAGCCTAGCTGAGGGGGAATCCCAAGCTGCTTTTTTTTTTTATTTTTTTTTTTTTAGCCCTGGCGTGGCTGAAGCACGGTAGACCTGTATCTGCACGTCACTGAGCCAGGTAAGGGGCCATCTACAAAGAGGGTTTCCCTCCCCAATCCCTCCCCAGTAGGAAACTGCTACTGGGGAGGAATCCCCAACCGCTGAGGTTCTGAGGCGTTGCCGGTGGCAAGACCAGCCAGCCCCTGCTTGGCACGGTGCAGCCGCTCTCCCCCTGCCCCACTTGTATGGGCATCACAGGCAGCAAGATCACTGGCCAGCAGTCTGCGCTCTTCCCTGCCTCCAGATAAGCGCCAAACGCACTTGGCCAGTGAAGCACGGACCAAATCATCAAGGCGCCACCGCTCTCCCCCTCCCCACTTGGTGTATGGGCGCGCCGGGCAGCATCATCAAGCGAAAATCGCCCATTGAAATGACTGTTTTGCAAATCGCTATAGCGATCGCAAAAAGTCATTGTTGTGCGGATTCATCGTCTAGCGGGGCAGCCGTCTTGCGAGACACCACTGTATATGAAAGAGCCATATGGAATTAGGACCAAAGACCATTTGTTGTAGGATTCTGTTCACGTGTAGCCAACCAAATGTCTATGGGGAACCCACAAGAACGATGTGAGAGCAATAGCCTTCTCAACTGCTATTAGAGACATATTGGATTTGGAATGTAGAGTCTTCATGATTCATAGACATTTCCTTCATAGATTTGTCTAAATTCTCTTTAAAAAGCTGTCTAGTGTGGCTTACTTTTAAGCAGACTGGTATAGGATCAGGTGTACCTCAAAAATATAGGCCAAATTGCTTTCGTTGGGTAATTAGCTCTATGTGTTAAATTTTCACAGATATTTGAGTTTAATGAAGAAAGTATGTTTGATATGGGGTGCAGACATACAACCAGGGAAGCCTTTTGGCCCTAAATCAGATCATTTCTTCCTGCTACCCAGCATTCGTAAACACTTGGAATGTGATGCAAGACAGCTTAATTGTATTGATAGTATATTCATTTCCCTGACATGATGACCATGAATTGAATTCAGATTTAGTCACAAGTGAATATTTTTAGGATTTTTTTTAGAGCAGCCATTCTTAACCTTTTTTGGCCGCAGTCATAAACACAATATGAGAGAAATACAGGCTGAATCAAGATTGTATAAATCGTATGATGAAGCTTAATAGGGTGATGTGTGAAACATTGTTTCCAGTCTGTGGTTCCCTTCGAATCTGCCAGGGCCCCCAAGGGGGTCATATGGCCTTTGTTAAGAATGACTGTTTTAGAGGATGCAGTTTAGAAAAGCCCAGCCTAGATTTAGCACTGCAAAGCTGAAACTAACAGTTTACTTAATACTGTAAGTCCTCCAGTAATGCCTGAACAGACTTCTATATGTACAGCAGATTAACACACCTTTTCCTTCTTCTGTGTGGTCCTGGACTAAGATTCACCCAAAACAAGAACACAGGGGGTTTGTGGGAGGACGTCAACTGCACTGGCAGATGTTGCATCAAGAGAGGCAAAACTAGACAATTACCCACCTGCTTTTGCTATTCAGCTCTTCAAAGATCAGCATATCTATATTTTGTAGTCGATTGCTCCAAATAAATGTTTGTGTTCCTGAAAAAATTATCAATCTTGCCATTGAACAGTTTTCACTCCAACAATTTTAGATAAGGTCAGAATTTAATATGAAAGGCTAAACAGCAGATTATTGGAAATATCATTATTTTTGATGCCTACTGGAGAAGCATGAGAATTAGTGTGAAGACTGTGAAAGCACAGAGTGGCAAAATGTATGACTCACTCCAGTAGAAAATTACGAATGGCTGTTTTTGTTGCTCTCTGATTATAGACTAAAACAGAATAATAGATTTATATAATCAGTCACTCGAACTCCTGCAGTAGCTGATCTTGTTCTTTACAGATGAATGAAATTGAAGTGTGTCCAGAATGTTACTTAGCTGCCTGCCAAAAACGAGAGAATTGGTTTTGTGAGCCATGTGTAAGTAAAACAATAAATGTGCATACATATACAGTTGAACTTTTCCTTTTATTTTAAAATCTGCGTACAACAGTCTTTTGAAGATAAATTCTCTTTATCTAAATAAAATTTGCACACTATAGCTACAATTGATGTGGAACTGCAAAAGTTGAATTCTAATTGAATTGCACTCAGAAACTTGCAAAAGCCAAAATCTTACTGCTTCATGAAGTAAACTGCACTAGAGTAAGTCCATTAACCTCTTCACAGATTACTGCCTTGTCGTAGCAAAGGGGCTTGAGTAATTGAGAGAAGCTATGGGCTAAGCCTTGGGTGCAGGGACACCCAAGATGGACAGGTCATAGTGGAGACTTCTGACTAAATGTGATCCATCTGGAGCAGGAACTGGCAAACCACACCAGTATTTTTGCCAAGAAAACTCCATGGACACAAACAAAAGGCTAAAAGATATGATGCTGGAAGATGAGCCCCTCAGGTCGGAAGGCATCCAACATGCTACTGAGGAAGAGCGGAGGACAAGGACAAGTAGCTCCAGAGCTAATGAAGTGGTTGGGCCAAAGCCGAAAGGAAACTCAGCTGTGGACGTGCCTGGAAGTGAAAGGAAAGTCCGATGATGCAAAGAAGAATACTGCATAGGAACCTGGAATGTAAGATCTGTGAACCTTGGTAAGCTGGATGTGGTCAAACAGGAGATGGCAAGAATAAACATTGACATCCTGGGCGTCAGTGAACTAAAATGGATGGGAATGGGCGAATTCAATTCAGACAATTATCATATCTACTATTGTGGGCAAGAATTCCATAGAAGAAATGGAGTAGCCCTCATAGTAAACAAAAGTGTGGGAAAAGGTGTACTGGGATACAATCTCAAAAAATGATAGAATGATTTCAATACGATCAAAGGCAGACTTTTCAACATCACAGTCATCCAAGTTTATGCACCAACCACTGATGCTGAAGAAGTTGAAATTGACCAATTTTATGAAGATTTACAACACCTTCTAGAACTGACACCAAAGAAAGATGCTCTCATTATAGGAGACTGGAATGCTAAAGTGGGGAGTCAAGAGATAAAAGGAACAACAGGTAAGTTTGGCCCTGGAGTTCAAAACAAAGCAGGGCAAAGGCTAATAGAGTTTTGTAAAGAGAACAAGCTGGTCATCACAAACACTCTTTTCCAACAACACAAGAGGCGACTCTACACATGGACATCACCAGATGGACAATATTGAAATCAGATTGATTATATTCTCTGCAGCCAAAGGTGGAGAAGCTCTATACAGTCAGTAAAAACAAGAGCTGGGGCTGATTGTGGCTCTGATCATCAGTTTCTCATAGTAAAATTCAAGCTTAAACTGAAAGTAGGAAATACCACTGGGCTAGTGAGGTATAATCTAAACCAAATCCCTTATGAATATACAGGGGAAGTGAATAACAGATTTAAAGAACTCGATTTGGTGGTCAGAGTGCCAGAAGAACTATGGATGAAGGCTCATAACATTGTACAGGAGGCAGCAACAAACACCATCCCAAAGAAAAGGAAAAGCAAGAAAGCAAAGCGGCTGTTTGACGAGGTCTTACAAATAGCAGAGAAGAGAAGGGAAACAAAATGCAAGACAGATAGGGAAACTTACAGAAAATTGAATGCAGACTTCCAAAGAATAGCAAGGAGAGACAAGAGGGCCTTCTTAAATGAACAATGCAAAGAAATAGAGGAAAATAATAGAAAGGGAAAAACCAGAGATCTGTTCAAGAAAATTGGAGATATTAAAGGAACCTTTTGTGCAAAGATGGACATGATAAAGGACAAAACTGGTGGGGACCTCATAGAAGCAGAAGACATCAAGAAGAATACACAGAGGAATGATATCAGAAAGATCTGTCTGTCCCGGAAAGCCCAGACAGTGTGGCTTCTGACCTTGAGCCAGACATCCTTGAGAGTGAAGTCATGTGGGCCTTAGAAAGCATGGCTCACAACAAGGCCAGTAGAGGTGAAGGCATCCCAGTCGAACTTCAGCAGTATGTGGACTCAGAACTCCCAGAAGTACAAGCTGAATTTTGAAGGGGCAGAGGAACTAGAGACCAAGTTGCTAACATGCGCTGGATTATGGAGAAAGCCAGAGAGTTCCAGAAAAACATCTACTTTTGCTTCATTGACTACGCAAAAGCCTTTGACTGGAATTAAGGTTGCCAAAAGAAATATCAGCAACCTCAGATATGCAGATGATATCACTCTGATGGCAGAAAGTGAGAATTAAAGAACCTCTTAATGAGGGTGAAAGAGGAGAGCTCAACATAAAAAATGAAGATCATGGCCACTGGTCCCATCACCTCCTGGCAAATAGAAGGGGAAGATATGGAGGCAGTCAGAGATTTTACTTTCTTGGGTTCCATGATCACTGCAGATGGGGACAGCAGCCAGGAAATTAAAAGACGCCTGCTTCTTGGGAGGAAAGCGATGAGAAATCTTGACAGCATCTTAAAAAGCAGAGACATCACCTTGCCAACAACGTCTGCATAGTCAAAGCTAAGATCTTACTAGTAGTGTTGTATGGAAGTGAGAGCTGGACCATAAAGAAAGCTGACCGCCGAAGAATTGATGCTTTTGAACTGTTGTGCTGGAGGAGACTCTTGAGAGTCCCCTGGACTGCAAGGAGATCAAACGTATCCATTCTGAAGGAAATCAACCCTGAGTGCTCACTGGAAGGACAGATCCTGAAGCTGAGGCTCCATTACTTTGGCCATCTCATGAGAAGAGAAGACTCCCAGGAAAAGACCCTGTTGTTGGGAAAGTGTGACGGCAAGAGGAGAAGGGGACCACAGAGGACAAGATGGTTGGACAGTGCGATCGATGCTACCAACATAAATTTCACCCAACTCCAGGAGGCATTGGAAGACAGGAGGGCCTGGCGTGCTCTGGTCCATGGGGTCAGGAAGAGTTGGACATGAATGAATGACTAAACAACAAACAACAATAAGTCCATTAAGTCAATGGATTTGGTAACTCACCTCTTCTGTAAGTTCCATTGATTGAAATAAGTATGCTCTAACTGTGACTTACATTAGCATAGTGTTGCAACTTGAGTAGGCCCATTTAAACTAATGAAAGTAATGGAGAAGTACTCTACTACAGTTTACTATGGTAAGCCCCATTTGTGTGAATTAATTTGATATAGATTTCTAACAATTACAAGGTTTCATTTAATTTTGTTTAATTTAAATTGGCTACTTTTAGATGTTAGATGTATTATTGTTCACTCTGGATATTGAAAATGATCTGTGGTACAAAAATGTTTGAATATTTGACCATTCCTCCTAAATATAAGGGGGCAGGAATTCTCTCAAATAAAGGACTTTCTCTTGAGCACTGTACTATTATGCTGTAAACAGTTTTAAAGAGAAAGCAAATCAAGCATTTCAGTTTATATTGTTAAAGCACTTCAAATAATTGTAGATGACAGAAAAGCTATGCAGTTCTCTGAGCACAGGCTGCATTTTCTTTATTTGGGGTATGTGTGTCTCATTTTTTAGTTACTGTTGTGGTCCACATCATAAAATCAATTATTGTCTCTTGTACCAGTAATTAGAAAGTAGTACATGGCTTAAACTGGTTTCTCACTATGGTCACTATGCACTTTCCTCTAGAGCAATCCACACCCGTTGGTCTGGGCTAAACTCAAGGGTTTCCCATTCTGGCCTGCTAAAGCACTGAGGGATAAAGACGGTCAAGTTGATGCTCGTTTCTTTGGTCAACATGACAGGTGGGAGTTCAGTCAAAAAGTGGTTGAATGGCTTGTGTTATATTTGCGTGTTACAATGTTGGCAATGTCCACTTACATTTTTAATAAAATATATAGTTAACCACTATTTAATTTTGTATACAGAGAAAAGTCGTATTTTTTCCCCTTAAGGGGAACTTCTTCAACGCATGTGGAAAACTCCAGTTTTCCTGTGCATAGCCTTCTGTTGTCCTGCTGGTTAGCCTGCAGCCATGAAGTTTGCTACTAGATTGAGTGAGTGCTAGATGCATGTCATATGAACAGTTTTTAATAGCCTGATGCTGTCATCATCACATATATGGTTGAAACTGGCCCAAATAAATATAAGTGGAATATTACAATATCTGAGTATCTGCCAACATAAGAGAAAATTAGAGGCAGTCAGGCTGATAATGCCCTGATTATTGACTGATGGAAGTTCAACTGGAAGACTCTGGTTCACCATTCCAGTGAATTATTAAATGGCAGTTGCTATTTAATTTAATTTACCACCTTTTAAAAATATTGTTTTAGAAATAAGGTTTTCTAGAATTGTTGACTGCCCAAACTGCAATCTTTTCTGCTTAGACACAGGAGGTTTACATGTTGGGGCTAAATAAAAACTTGAGTTTCATATATGCATATTTTTACACAAAACACATTGAATTTAATAGGACTTGCTTTCAAGTATGCTTAAAGGTGAAATGAAAGTCTTTGAAACCATCTACGTGTCAATTAATCTGACATACCTGCTTATTTGTTTTACCCTTTTTTATGCAGGGCCTGGGTTCCAGTAAATAATTGCTACCTCATGTCTAAAGAAATTCCTTTTTCTGTGAAAAAGACTAAAAGCATATTCAACAGTGCAATGCAAGAGATGGAGGTTTATGTGGAGAATATCCGTAGAAAGTTTGGCGTTTTTAATTATGCACCTTTCCGGACACCGTATACTCCTAACAACCAATACCAAATGTTATTAGACCCTTCAAATCCTAGTGCTGGAACTGCCAAGACTGACAAACAAGAGAAAATCAAACTTAACTTTGATATGACAGCATCACCCAAGATTTTAATGAGCAAACCAATGCTGAGTGGTGGTACTGGGCGAAGGATTTCCTTAACAGACATGCCGCGTTCTCCAATGAGTACAAATTCATCTGTTCATACTGGATCTGATGTTGAGCAGGAAACAGAGAAAAAGCCAACCTCCAGTCACTTTAGTGCAAGTGAAGAGTCCATGGACTTTCTTGACAAGAGTACAGGTAAGATAGGCAGATGTTGCTGTCTCAATCGCTACAGACAAGTTTTGTCATCAGCCACTGTAGGTAAGGTTGTAAAATTGGAAGGAAAGAACATTATGTTCATTATTGATATACTAATAGGGTGTTGCATAGGCCTCAGGTGCATCGCTACTCCTAAGCATGCACATAGCTGTCCTGGGAATAATTATACTATTGGGTTAGAGCCAGGACACTTGTCATCCATGATAATAGCATAGTAGTTATAATGAACTGTAAAGTGGATCAGTGGCACCTGCAATGAATTGAAAATATGGTTCAGGTGATGTTCAAATAAAGGAAGTGGCATTTGGCTGGCCTAATACTGGGTAACGAAGAATCAGAGGGTCTGGTTGTGAGCATTTGGATTAGTAGGAGCACGTACAAATATATTTCATAGACATCAGGTTGTTGCTATCATGTGATGCACTCTGTTTCTTTGGAACACTAAGCAAGAGGTTTGTTTAGACCAGGAATGGGAAAAGAAGAGCCCTGAGGTGTGTACAACTCCTCCAGATTGGGTTTGTAGCCCCCAGCTCTCCTAAATCACATATTTTTTGCGAAGAAAAAAAAAAGACCCACATCCTTTTTCCAAAATTGGAAGTGGTCTTTTAGCTATTTCAGTTTTTGTTTCCAAGTATTAGCAGTTTTCTTGGTTTTTATGCCCTTCCCCAAGATATTTGGGCCAGAAAATTGGCCTGTTGATTTGCTGAGGTTCCCCAGCCTAGTTTAGATCATGGCACCAAAGGTGGAAGGTGTGTGTGTGTACACACATGTGTAAGGAATGTACTTGAGTGATCTGGCCAAGAGTTAACTACCTGTCAGAGCTGTCTGTAGTCTGACTGGGTGAAGCACAATGATGAGATTGTGCAGTCTTAGTATGCTCATGTTTGGCAGCAGTTTGCCAGGAGAACATTTTGCATAATACGCTGTAATTCCTTGTTGGGTGCAATAACACTGTGGATTAGTCCGTAATTTTTTAAAAAAATACTTTTGGCATCAGATACATTGAGTGACCTGCTAATATTTTAGAAGCCAGAACAGTAAGATAATAATAAATGAGAACTAAAACACATAGAAAGTTGAACTGGTAGTTAATTCATTTTGGCAATTTTACCATGCTCTTCCTTTATTAATATTAATATTAATATTAATATCCCGCCTATCTGGTTTAACAAAGCTTTGAATCTTTCATAGCATATAAGTTCGTACATTTAATGATTCAGAGTAGACATGGGCACCGTATTGGTATCTAGGGATATGAAATATGAAGCCCACATCCTACCTCCAGTACCATCCACCCCACTCACTGGGCTCTGCATGACGCTGGAGTCCTCTTTCAAGGGCAACATGCTAATCTCGGCAGCAGCCCAGATGGCCCTTCCACACCTCCCTGTGTAGCTGACCAAAGTGGTCAGCTATGCAGGGATGTGGGAAAGGTCCAGCTGGGCTCCTGCCAGGATTGGTGCGCTACTGCCAAAGGAGGGCCCCAGTGCCATGCAGAGCACAGTGAGTGGGCCGGTCAGTTTTGGGAGTGGGAATTGGGCCTCTGCAGCACCTGTAGTATCCTTTGATGCAAATATGAAGGGCCCATGTCTAATTCAGAGGGAAGGAGTCAATGCATTGCCTGGGATAGTGCATGCTTACACAGTAGAAAACATTGTGTGAATTATGAATTAGTCGAACAGCTTCTCTGTTTTCCTTCAGGGCTCTTTATGTCAGTTTCAGTATTGCATTGTACAGAAAGGGGGAAATGGCTGTATTCAGATGTTACCTTCCTAAATTTGTCTTGTTTTATCTTGATGCTGTTAACACAATTTAGAATGATTTGTGTGTTTACATTAACTATTGTGTAAATGTTCTACTTTTTGTAAACATGACTATTTCACATGTAAAAATTGGTGCAAAGTTTATAAAGATCCTCTTAGACCATGAACAAGATGAATTGTTGGTCTTTATGTGCCAGTATTTGTTTAAATAATTAAATTTATGTTCTGAAGTTTTTTTTAAATCAGTATGATAGTGCCTTGCTCTCTTTGTGAAATTCATACTATGTATGCCTGCTATCAAAAATCCAAAAAAGAGAGTTTGTCCTTTTTCCTGATATTGAATTTCCCTTCACTTTATTTTCACTGTTCCAGCCACAGTACTAAATGAAGGCAAGAAAACTAGAGTAGGCATTTCTAGTATTTGTATTCATTCAAATCATATGCTTATAAGAACTGCAACAAAATATTCCAATATATATACTCCATCTTAACAGAAAATTAAGAAATCGGTCCATCCATCCATTTATTTTTATTTGTTTAAAATATTTTTACCCCATCTTTTTCCTTAAAAAGGACATAAGGCAGCTTACAACATTAAAAGACAATATTTAAAGTTAAAAACAATAAGTATACAAATACTAAAAAGGATCAAACCCAAACTGCTACAATAAATTGTAAACAAAAGCAGTATTAAAAGCACATTCAATACAGTAAGGGACAACAACCTATTTAAAAATCCCACTCAAATAGCTAATCACTGAGAGAAAGCTTGCCTGAAGATAAAGCTTTTTCTTCGCCTGCTTGTGGAAGGACAGCAAAGATGAGTCCAGCCAGGTCCCCTGTGAGAGGGAGTTCCAAAGTCTGGGAGAAGCAACAAACACAGTCCCCCCACCAATCACACCTTTGAAGGTGGTGGGACCAAGAGATGACAGGTTACTCCAGATAATCTTAACATCCAAGCAGGCTCATAATAGGAGACATGGCCCTTGAGATAGCTTGAGCCCAAGTTGTTTAGGGCTTTATAGGTTAGAATCTTTATAGGTTAGAAATTATTCCTTCTAAGCAGGCTCTCCATCCCACTCCGACTGTTTTCCTTTTCCAACTGCCAGTCTTTCAAGGCTGCTGAGCATAGTAATTTTTCCTTGAATTGTTGCCATATTTTGCCCTTAGGTGTGTTTTTTTTAAAGTTTTTTATTTTTTATTTTTTTAAGGAGAGGGGCACTTCTGTCAAACTTAGTATTGAATAAACACATATTTTTGAGGTATTATTTCTAGGCTTCTTATGTAATAAGTAAGAAAGCCTAGAAATTATGCCTGGGAAAAAAGTGTTTGTCTTAAGAGGTAAGGAAACTATAAAACTTGCAGAGGAGCTAAACTTTGTTTCAAAACTTAATTGTGCCTCAATGTCTGAAATCTTCTTGCATATGTTATACATGGAGAATGGGGATGATGTCACTGGTGGGGGAAGATTTTTCTTTAAGCGGAGCGTTCCCCCTTTTCTCCTGCGACTTTAAGTAATTCTTTATATTGTATGGAAACTATAGGCACCAGGTGACAGGAGGAGATATTTCATGACCAGAAATCTCTCAACGCCTCCCCTCCTGGTAATGTCATTTGGCTATGATGGGTTTTGGTAATTAAAGACTTTGTCCTTCCATCTCATAGTTTCTGCATGTTATAGTGGATTACTCACAAGTTGGTCAAGTCACAGAAAAGAAAGGGCAGATTTTTAACTACCAAAAACCCTCCTTCTGCCAGTTAAGTCTCCACCCTTCAGCAAGAGCATTTCAGCCAAAATGATTTAGGAAACACTCCTGGTGGTGAAATGTATTAGAACAAAGAGTCTGAAAATCAGAGATGAATGGAGAAGCAGGAAGTGGAGTCCTAAAATTTGTTTTCCTTCCCAAAACAAGGAAGTTACCATGTCTATCTTATCTGAAAATATTCTTAGCTAGTTAATTTTTAAGGTAAGTATCAGTATACAAGGAGCAACTGGTTTAGTTAATTTCTCTTAATCGATAGAATACACTGGTGTGAATTATTTAGTTCAATATTATACCTTTTGCTTAAAACCTATTGAAGAAATCTATTTCTCACTTTCTTCCAAAGAACTGTACAATCTATGTATTACTACTTTTGGGGGGACAGGAATCTCCCCACAGCCTCAATCCCACATGACTAAGCTGCTTTCCATGTGCTGGGGAGTTTTCAAAAGCAATTAGTGCAGATGTCTGATGTACATAAGGGTAAAATGGCACTGATCCATCAGAGTGGGCCCAAGCTTAAAGAACCCCTTCCCACCTTTTCCAGCTCATGGTTTGTAATTTGTTTTATTTCATTTGTCTACTTTTTTAGCCTCTCCAGCACCAATAAGAACAGGTCAAGCAGGGAGCTTATCTGGCAGTCCCAAACCTTTCTCTCCTCAACCTTCAACACCTGGTGCTACTAAGCAAGAAAGAACATCTACTCCAGGAAGCATTCTTAATCTTAATCTTGGTAAGTTAGAGTGGTTTAAAGAAACTTCCATCTTTATCAGTGGTAAGAGCACAACTGAAATGTCTGACTCCCAAATAATGCAATGTTATATTTCTTCTACAGTTTGTAGGTTATAATTTACAGGCTTATGAAAACACCTGTGATAGTCCATTGTTCAACAATATATAATAAATAGGATTTTGAAAGCTAAAGAACATCAGCTTGCCTATTTTGCTACATGGAATAATACTAGGGTGGTGGAGGATGAAATTTGTTCTGCGAGTGGGATTTTTTTTATTGTTGTGGTTGGGTTGAGATCCCTATAGTAGCTGGTGAAAAATAAATTTAAAAAATCTAGCCTTATAAAATAATTATAATAGAGTTCAAATAACCTGTGCTTGCACAATATCTACTATTTGGATAGTCCAAAGTCGTGATTTTTAACTGCCGTTATTAAGAGTTGGTTTGTATATCAACTCCAGCTTTTCCAGTGGGCAATTAGCATCAACAATTGCCCTTAACATAATTGGATCCAGTTTTCTAAATTGGTATGTGTATTTGAGAACAGTGACTTTGAACCTGATTAGCACTAAGTTCGTTTCCATGTTGTATCATTCATCTTTCAGTCAGCCATGTTAGCATAGGAAGAGATCACAGTGGATTGTGTTCATTGGCTGCAGTACTGCACACAGTTGAGCTGATAAATCTGTCCATTTTTGTGGTATGGAATGAACATAGCTGTCCATGGGCTTATACCAAGCTTCCACATACTACTTCAACAATGCAATCAAGAATTGCAACTTAATGAACTTAGTACTGCTTATCAATAAAAGCTTTTAATTTTTTGAAGCTTACACCCACTGTTTAAATTGTATTATCTAATAAGGACATTTTTATTTAATATTCTAGATCGTAGTAAAGCTGAGATGGATTTGAAAGAGCTGAGTGAATCAGTACAGCAGCAGTCCACACCTGTACCACTGATTTCACCAAAGCGACAAATTCGGAGCAGATTCCAACTTAACCTTGACAAGACAATAGAAAGTTGTAAAGCACAGCTAGGTATGCATCTGTTCATTCCATAACCTGTGGTGTAAGCATTAGAGCTAAAAATATTCTTCATTGTGGTGTTATCTCTTAGAGATGGTGACAGGAATGAGGAAACTAACGTGGTCAGTTGTTTAGTGATGTTTTAAAAACCTCTTAAATCAAAAGATTTCAAAACAATACACACAAATAATTCAATATACACTGGTTGAAACCTTGTTGAAGAGCTTGGTACTCATAAAGGCTGATGATATCAGCCACAAACATTCATATTTAATTTAAAGTTTCCTACCCCACACCCTTGTCACTAGAGACTCCCTATGGGGCTTCCTTTAGATCCAGGGAAGCTTTTAGAAATCTTAGAATGAAGGCAAGGAGCCATTAATGCCTGAAAATCACTGGTCTTGGGTGGGAGGACCAGCAGTGGTGGTATCAGGCCATTAAAGACATTATCAAGATTAATAAAATGTGTTGTAGAATAACCTTCAACAGGAAGGCTTGCATAAATATATTTGTGTTCAATATGTCCAGGAAAACAGAAATTGTCAGTGCATCAAGAGGAAGAAGCATATTCCACAAAATGGGCACCCCAACAACTCAGCATCTTGCTCCAAATAGTCCTGTCCAAGCAATCTGTGCCGCTGCTGTTGAGACCAGCCTTTGAAATAGCTCCTCACTGAGTGCATTGTAATAGTTACAGTGGGTTTGCACTTTATAAAACATGTCAAGAACTGAAAAGAGATGAAGTAGAAATCTATAATTCAACAATATTCTTTTGTTCTTCTGTAATTAGGCATCAATGAAATATCTGAGGATGTTGCAGTAGAACATAGTGACTCTGAGGATTCTGAGAAATCAGACTCTAGTGATAGTGAATACATCAGTGATGATGAACAAAAGTCCAAGAATGATCAGGAGGAGGAGGAAAAAGAAGGTACAAGGAGTGACAAAGAGTCCTTGCCCATGAAAAAAAAAACGAAACCACCAACTCCAACAGAAGAAAAAGAAGACATTAAAAATGCAAGCTCAGAAGTGGAGAAAACCGATACCCCTGCCAAAGAAAAGTCAAATGCAGACTCAGATAAAGAGCTTTCTGAAAAGGGGAAAAGTTTGTCACACCCTGCTAAAGAGAAGCTGAAAAGTAAAGATGAGACAGACTCTCCAACTGTGCATCTTGGCCTGGATTCTGATTCTGAAAGTGAACTTGTTATTGACCTGGGGGAAGACCAGTGTGGTCGTGAAGGACGAAAAAATAAAAAAGAACCCAAGGAATCTCCTCCTAAGCAGGATGGTAGGATGCCCTATTTTCTGTTATTTGCTTCAGTTGCCAAAGAATTAAACACTGGTCTGCATGCCTACGGTGCTTATATCGTTGGTCCCTGAAATTCTGATAACTTTAATGAGGTTGGGGGATGAGGCTGTGCTTCTGGAATGGGGTGGATCTATTTTCTTTTCCTTAAAAATCTATTCATTTGTTCTAATACAGTTTTGGGTCTTCCCATGTATCCCACAAACACTCAAGAGAAACGTATCAGCAGCTTTGGGTTATCTCAGAGTATATACAAATACAAGACCACATAAGAAAAGCAGGTCTGTGTCTTAGACAGGAAAAATAGCCTCATTATAATTCAGTAGCATTGAAAGTTGAGAATTAGATGAAGAAACCCTGTTACAGTGGTGCCTCGACTTTTTGAGTTACAACCAGCTCCGGCCGTAAAATGACAACCAGCTCCGGCCACAAAATGTTGCTTTGAGTTGCAGCCGGAGCTTCCAGTTAAGAACACCTGAAGGCAGGGGGAAAAGGCAGGAAATTCAAATTGCTAACTGTTGGTGGTGAAGAGGCTGCTTCTTTGTAGGTCTTTCGCCCCAGCAGTGCGATCGGAGGAGCTTGGGACTGCCTGGTATGGTAAAGTGCTGCTTTCTACTTTTAAAAAACTGCCTGTTCTGGGTTTTGCAGGGCAGGTTTGGGCTGGAGGGGTTATGTTTCTGTGCTGTATTGTTGGGGATTTTTAGGGGTTATGTTTCTGTGCTGTATTGTTGGTTTTTTTTTTGCAGCCCCAGCGCCTTTCAATGGGGCTTGTTCCATTGTTTATTTTTGTTTTTGTTTTTAAGCCCCAGCGCCTTCACGGCTTGCTCGTTTATTTTTTGTTTTGGGTTTTTTGCAGCCCCCGTGTTGTTTTGTTTTTAAGCCCCAGTGCCTTCACAGCTTGCTTGTTTATTTTTTGTTTTTGGTTTTTTGCAGCCCCCGCGCTTTCCAATGGGGCTTGCTCTGTTGTTTATTTATTTATTTATTTTAAAGCCCCAGCGGCTTCAGAGTTGTCTCCGTTGTTTATTTTTGGTTTGTTTGTTTTTTTAAAAGCCCTAGTGCCTTTGGGGCTTCTCCTGTTGTTTGTTTGTTTATTTATTTATTTATTTATTTTTGCAGCCCCAGTGCATTCCTATTGGGCTTGCAATGTTTTATTTTTATTTTATTTTTTGGGGGTATTTTTTTCGCTTCTGGGATGGATTAATGCGTTCCAATGCATTTCAGTGGGAAATGGTGCTTCAATTTATGACCATTTTGAGTTACATCCATCTTCTGGAACAGATTATGGTCGTAAGTCAAGGCACCACTGTACTTGAATGGGAGAAAGAAGGAATGAAACATCTAGAAATGGGAAATAATTTATGTATCATTAAATGTTAAAAATAAAACATCTTGTTGCCTTTCTTAAAAATCTTCATATTTGCATATTTTCATGCATCCCTAAAGATGAAGTATTTTATCAAAAATTTTCTCCCTATGTTTCTCAAAGTTTTCATGCTTTTCTATCACAGGTTTTCCTGTTGTTCTCAGGCATGACATCTCTGTGTGTAGTCAGCTTGGTTTCATGGGCTGTATGGCCTATGAAACCAAGCTGTTGAATATATTTTTGTTGGTTTTCTGTCTTGGAATTAGGATCTATTCAGGTGATCTGCATGATCAAAAGGAGCTGACACTGCTTATTGTAGACAGTTCTTGAACAGCTCATGCCAATAAGGCAGGAATTGAAAGTGGTTTCCATTTTGTCATAATACAAACAGAGACATGTCAGGACCTAGTATTATCTAACTGTGAAAAATGAAAAAAAGAATAGTTCCTTAAGACATCTTTAAAAATGTGGAACAATAGACTGAAAGCCCTCAGTAAATAAAAATTTATTCATGACTAGCTAATGAAAAAACAGAACAAAAGGTTAAACATAACTTGTGAAGCTACCAGATAAATAAAGCTTTCGGTAGAAGAAATCTTTCTCTCACTGCCTCATATTTTTCTTGAAGACAAAAATATGCCTCCTGCTGCTCTAGGACTTCTACATTGCTTTCCAGAGTTAGCTGACTGGGAACAATGCCACATTTGTCTCAAAGAAAACAATTATGTGCAATCATCATCATAATCATTTTAGAACTGCAGAGCTGGAAGGGATTGTTGAGTAAGGCTACTTGTGTTATTGCTTGACTTGGAAACCAACATTGGGGTAACTTTGAACTGTATGTAAAATTTATATATATATTCTCCCCATTTAGCGGCATCTAAACCCCCACCTTCTTCAACTGTGAGCAGTCAGCCTCCTACTGAAACTCAGGTGCTTACGCGATCAGCATCCCAAACTCCTCCAGCTGGTATTACACCAACAACAAGCACAGCGTCCACTGTCAGTGCTCCGACTGCAGCCACTGGAAGTCCAGTGAAAAAGCAGAGGCCTCTCCTACCAAAGGAAACAGCTCCAGCTGTCCAGCGGGTAGTCTGGAATTCTTCAAACAAATTTCAGACTTCTTCTCAGAAATGGCATATGCAGAAAGTACAAAGACAGCAACAGCAGCAACAGAGTCAGCAGCAACAACCTCAGTCTTCCCAAGGAACAAGATACCAAACAAGACAGGCTGTGAAAGGTATTCTTCAGTTTTCCAGTCTATGCCCACTGTTGTATTTTTGCAGTAGTTATTGTGCTCAGTGACTTCATGCTGTGAATTCCTCTGTAACTATGGATCTTGCAAACACATGGAAATGTACACACATCAGTGCTATTGTTCAGTGTAGTTAGAAGTCCCGTTCATTTCCCGTTCATTGGAATGTAAATTATGTTCACCTTAGATTACAGATGCTGCCACTGTAGAAAATCGTGAATACAGTATTCTAAAAGCTGGTTGAGAGTGTATGTTGGTGGAAGAAAACAGCTATCTCTGACAATATTTATAGGAAATAGCATATTTTATATTTATCAGGATATAGCTGTACATTATGATTCTGATTGGTTATACAGTGGTGCCTCACTTAGCGAGGTTAATCCGTTCCAGAAAAACCGTCGTTAAGTGATTTCACCCTTAAGCAAAAAGAAAAAGCCCATAGAAACACATTAAAACGTGATTAATGCATTCCTATGGGCTAAAAACTCACCTTTAAGTGAAGATCCTCCATAGGAGCGGCCATTTCTGGTGCCTCTTAAGCGAGGTATCCATTCCAGAAAACAGCGGGCGGCCATTTTGAAACCGCCGATCAGTTGTTAAAAAAAGCATTGCTTTGCTATTATCGGTTCCCCAAGCAGGGAACCGATCACGGCAAAGTACCACCAGCCAAGCAGGGAACCGATCATGGCAAAGTACTGCCAGCCAGCCAGCCAGCCCCGGACACCTGGTCTCCATGGCCGGGTGAGAGCGAGGGGGAGGGAGCGCAGCAGTCTCCAGCCAGCGAGGGCTTGGAGGCAGGCAGCTGGGAAGGGGCATGCCACTGATAGACAGACAGACAGCCCCGGACGCCCGAAGGGGTGTGCCTCTGACGGCCAGCCAGCTCCGGACGCCCGGTCTCCTTCGCGGGGCTCTCCCAGGGCGCAGACGGGGCGAGGAGGGGATATCTGGCGTGCCGCAGCTGCTGCCGCCCTGATCCTGGTCCCAGGCGGGTGCCTCCTCCCTTGCAGTGCCCCCCGCCGCAACGGCTCTCTGGCTCAGCGCCCCAGGGG